CTGAAACCTGATCAGTCACTGCCACCACCCTGCCTCAAACTAACCTCTACCGTAAACTGAGTAAACTGAGCTCAGCAGTGAATACTGGACAGCGGGGAGAATCCCCATACACTGCACCAATACTGTCTCCCACACAGACCCAAGAACATATATACTAAACAGTTAGGGATCATACATAGTTTTGGTGATATTTTTGGGTAGAGAAGTCTGACCACACAATTTAATAAAAATATCCCTACAAATATTCCTGATCACCAACATTTTTCGTTCACTACATTTAATAAAATAATTGTTCCATTCCACTCCCTCATGGAATTATGGATTATTGGATATTTTAACCCTATCCATAAATTTATTTCAAGGACTACATGCTAGTCGACACCGATAGGCCAGATCAGCCAACAGTAGGTGCCCCCATATGATGACCACCTGATAAAATATCACATTTTTCAGCAGTCGTATTTCTTTTTCAAATACCAAAAATATTAAGATGTCAAGTGACGTTAAAAGAAATAAGTTTGGGGTTGGTTGGCTTTCTACACAATGTTCAGCATCTTGATATCTACCAACATCTATTACACATCAGTTGAGGCAGCTGGGACAAGGCTGAGGTTGTGCAAACAAAATATTTCAGGTGAGATGAGCCATCATGGCTTCATGCTTCAGTACATGTGTAGAAAATACCGTGCCCATGCCACAGGTCAAGGTATTTCATTCAACACTCTCTACAGTCAATGCCAACACTAATCTATGTTTTTTTCAAAGAGAACGGCTCTATACAAGTTATAGCCTACATATATCTATGTTATATAACATCCATAGCCTACAGATATCTACATTACACAACAGCTTTAGTCTAGAGTCTTTGACAGGCATTTAGAAGTTGGAAGAACATGAACATACAGGACACTTTTTAATGGATAACAACTTTTATTCCTTGTAATAGTGAGTTATAGTCAACATAGATATATGATATAACAGGCCTACATATATCTGTTACATGTAACAGGTCTATTTTAGATAGTTACAACCTTTATAGATCTGTTGTATAACAGTCATAACCTTTTTAGATTTGTTATAAAACAATTATAACCAACATTGGTCTAGTTTAGATGGCTATAACCTTTAAATATGTTATATAATAATCGTCTACATATGCCCATTTTTAGTGGTGAATGGCTCCATGTTATAATGCATACAGATCTATGTTATATAACAGCTATAGCCTACTTGGACCCATATTTTAGTACTGAATGGCTCCATGTCATAATCCATATAGATCTATGTTTTATAACAACTATAGCCTACTTAGACCCATATTTTTTAAGTGAATGGCTCCATGTTACAATCTATATAGATCTATGTTTTATAACAACTTTTTCCTACTTCGACCCATATTTTTTAAGTGAATGGCTCCATGTTACAATATATAGAGGTTATCACGCGAGTGTGTTTGGGGATGGTAAATATCCTGCATTAGGAATAAACATTGTATTTAGCGAGCCTTGGCGAGCTAAATACATAGTGTTTATTCCTAATGCAGGATATTTACCATCCCCAAACACACAAGCGTGATAACCTCTTTATCATATAATGTCATTCTTTAATTCTGTGTTTCAAAATCGCTTTCCCTCTCTCACAAACAATACCGAAACATTGCAAGTTTTCCTGGAATGCGCGCATTAATATTTATTACGTCTGAGGGTAAGTGATGTGTCAGTCGGACAGTGGCAGTAGCCAATATAGTTCCAACTGAAATCTCTTTTATACAGTGGCGAAGCAACATATACGCAATGGGTGTTTTTAATTGCCTTTCGCGGCAATCCATCGGTCTGTCTGCTGGAGTAACTGCCCTTTGTCAAAGGGAAGCTACTCTAATCCTAGTCTATGAGACGTCACAGCCACGGTCAGACGTTGTTGACAGTCGGTCTGTCCTGTCATAACGTTAAGAAGTGTAGTCAGATGTACACACAGCGACAAAACGAAACAAGGTAACAATTTAAACATATTTCGGCCAAATCCAACTATTTTAATTTGTGGAGAAAGGTTCAAGCCGCAGAGGACTACAAGCACAGATATGGCTACTGATCCCATTTGGCTAGGCCTCGTGGCTTCGCAAAATTGTGTCGAAATTTATATCTTCAAAGTTGCCAAAACTTATTAAATGCCTTAGCTACGTCACAGTTAGACACTGATTTTCAGTATATTAGACTGTTCTTTTGATAATGAAAGCAATTATCTCTGTAGTTTCTCCAGATTCCCGATGGTTAATTCTGACTCGATCGCCAAATGACGAGGGCGACGCCATGTTTGTTTATAAACAGTGAAAGTAGTCCCTACTTGACCTTTGATATTTGCATCTCTATCCGCATATGACCCCAACGGATATCGTTTTTATCCGTTGGCTTTATCCTGCCGAGAAACCTACCCATTATATGATAAATATAGATCTGTTATATAACATTTTATAACCATCACAGACCCATGTCATAGTGGTGAATTGCTCCATGTTATAACTGACAAATCTATGTGATAGATGTGAATGGCTTAGTACTGTGACTGTGGCCCCTTTGACACCAGGGACTATTCATACACATTGCCTACAAGTCAGAATGACACGGACCAACGTGTCTGGCACAAGGTAGGTATGATGATGGGGCTAGTGCTACATACCCTCTCACCCACCCACCCCCCACATGGCAGATTACCGACACAGACACACTGCCTACAAGTCAGAATGACACGGACCAACGTGTCTGGCACAAGGTAGGTATGATGATAGGGCTAGTGCTACATACCCCCCCACCCAGCCACCCCCCACATGGCAGATTACCAACACAGACACACACACATTCATGCATTTACACAGCTACACGATTCACGCTTCCAACTGACTGAACATTCCCCTTGACTGGCCAACTGTCCGACATTTCAGGCTCCTGTTAAAGGACGGGACACAATGCATGTTTAACACGCTTGAAGAAGGGACTCCTAACAAATATTAAGTTGAGACCAAAGGTTCTTTTGATGTCTTTATAAGAAGATCTAGCTAATCCTGTCATTTGCCCATAACCTGCCAGCACAACACCCTCCAGCAGACCTGAGGCTAGTGACATTAGCCTGTGGTGCAAGATTAACTCACATCTTTCAGATCTGAAGTTGCTGGGTCCCATGACCTAACCAGAGAAACCATTTGAGATCAGGAGGTTAGATAGTCGAAAAGTTTAAGTAAATGGTGTATTTATCAGTCATGGCTTGTTTCTTCCCAACTTGTACAACTTTGTCTTATATATCGAGTGTTTTAGATTATTCCTCTTTTCAATCCATAACATATACTCATTCGTGACCAACTCGTGTTATTCTGGGACAAGCTGAATAGCGACTCATGCCCCTCTCGTGCCATTTTGTTCCATTTGGGGCAACTGGGTTCCGTCTAAGCGCAAACGAGCATAGCTAAAAGTGACCACCTCCCTTGTTATTCTGGGACAAGCTGAATAGCAACTCATGCCCCTCTCGTGCCATTTTGTTCCATTTGTGGCAACTGGGTTCTGTCTAAGCGCAAAGACCACAGCTAAAAGAATTGCCAAATCATTGTGTAATGATTCAGGTATATTTTCTCCATATATATATTTTCCACATGCAATCCAAAACACATCAGGACTCACGGTATTATATAGCATGTTTTTGAACACATTAAGCTGTCTGTTAGGTATATTTTTAGATGCAAGACATATGTAAATTTAAAAATTATTCCTGAGGAATTCTTCGCTTGAAGTCATACACGCAGTCTGATTGGTTTGTCATATTTTTGCACATAACATTCATCGATAGGGGGATGAGTCTTCTTGTAGGTTATGGAAAGGGGCGAGTGGTGACGAATGAGCATATATACTGTTAGAACCCATCCAACACCACAAAGCTTCATGCTTGATTTTTCAAAATATTTAAAAAAAGTTTAGAGTGTCTTTACTGTTAATATTCATACACTGGCCTGAATTTAGCATTCAAAGCCATTCAATTACCAAAACCTTTCTGATTTAGAAGCCACTATTGTGCAGACAGCAGAGGTCATGTGTGTCTCGGGGGTCACCAGTACAACAGGTACTGCCCTCGCTGTCTGACAACGTGATCCCCTGGCGATCACAGAAATACCCGTTTGATAGCTGTCTAGCAAGCAGCAGGTGATCTAGGCTAGAGAAGCAGTGCTGTATGAGGAGAGATCAGTATGTGGGATATACACAGCTTCAACAGCTATTCTTGACACACCTCTGTGGTGAGATGTCCAATTTAATCTGAACATATCCAGTCCAGGACCAACTTGCACAAAGTGATCTTAGCTCTACGACTATCTTAGCCGATGTTAATGTATGGAAGTTACTATCATCTTAGCGCTAAGATCGCTTTGTGCAAGTGGTCCCTGCTCATTGCTTCCTACCCTGTATTCTAGTCTGATTCTAATTAAGAGTGGGCCATGATTTGGGTGAGTGAGTATGGTTTAAGCCACTTTTAGGAATATTCCAGCAATGATCATGATGGGGGACACCAGAAATGTGCTTCCCATGTGGGGAATAGAACCCAGGTCTTCGGTGTGACTGGCAAATGCTTTAACCACTACCCCACCAGTTAATGGGTGGTTACAGCCGTGCCTGAGCTGAAAGATGGAGGAATTTTAATTCAGATGTATCTTTGATGGATTTACAAGGATTATCAGACATCTGATTACGGGCTTGTCTGTTCCAGATTCAACCCTTATCATAAAGGCATGTTTTTATTCTTCTAGTAACTACAACATTTAGTTCCCGTCTCTTGCCGATGAACACTTCAGCTCTAGTAAATGCTGGCAGACAATCTTGTCTTACGCCTGCTTGAACAAGAGTTGATGTGTTGTGACTGATGTATTGATGTATTGATGTATTGATTGACTGATGTATTGATGTATTGATTGACTGATGTATTGATGTATTGATTGACTGATGTATTGATGTATTGATGGAGTTTACCTCAGTTTGATCATGTCCTCCACCCCATCCTCCGCCTCGCTCGCCCGCACCGCAAAGGACATCTTGGTCTGCTTTGCCTGGGCTCCCTCGTCACCTGCAATAAAGGTCAAAGGTCACTTAGTCTGAAGAAATTGATTCGGTGGAAAGTGACACAAACTGAACAATTTGATTTTCTAAAACACAACTTTATGGGTCTCTACCGGTTTGCATGGTTCAATCTTCACCCTCTCAGCAAATCCTGACACTGACTGTCCAACATGTGTACCTAGGTCCTGCTGTGCTTCTAGTAATATGGACCATGGCTGCAGTAGTGGGGATGTTCAAGGATTTATCTAGATTTTCATCCCCAAGTCTGCAGCAAGTGTCAGTAAAAATTCCAAAATTGGAATTGAACATTCCAAATTCAAGCTGTTTTAGAAGTAACGAATGTTATGACTTTGTCATGGTGACTTGTATTTCACTGATAACAGGACCAATAAAGTGGAAGAGGATTTATAGTTTAGGTTAACATGATTGCATTGACTGCAATGGAATATAAGAATTATTTTAAAAATCCAAACTTTTAACAAAATATTTTTTTTCCAAATTTGCCTGTCAGGGGCACTTAGTATGGAAACCTGGATAAATCCTAATGTTTCTGAGGGAGTATAGTTGCTACAGCAACATATAACAGCATGGGACTCTAAAAATGGCCTTCAAACACATGCTGGGATAAAAACTTAAATCTTTGATGTGACAAGCTAACACTTACACCATCTGGCTTCCTCAAGTTGCATTACATAGTCGATTAATTATACAAACCCTGAAGGATTTTTGTTCCTGATTAATAATCCTGGTTAAAATACCCAACATTTAACAAGTTTAGACAATGAAATCTGCATTAACTTCTTACATATTACTGAGTCAGCTACACAATGCGTCAACTCAGCTGTTTTGTGGATGCCAGTGGATATGACCCATATCCCATGGGAAGCACACATACATCATTAATCTATCCCAGTTTGATCCCTGATTATCACATTGTACATGAGATATCCTGGCTATGGTTTGTTGCACACATTAGTTGACTTGGGACCTGTCTCCATCTGTACTACAATCACATTATCCTCCATCACAGTATACTTATACTGTACAGGAGACGAGGCATGGAGAGCTGTGTGCTACCTTCTACTTCTGTGTTACACAGCCATCATTCATCTTCCCGAGGCAAGAGAGTTAACTGACTTTAAAAGTCCAGTTTCCACCTTTGAATTACTGGGCTCGATCGTAGCTCCACCAGTGGCTATTATCATTTATGTCCCCTCTAAGCCTCTCCTATGGACCAATGAGATTCCACCTCTCGTATCACTTGCGTTTGCTTCACCCAAAATGGTGGCGCCCAGTCAGGACGATCTGATCGATCAAGATCTATATTGTGATAAAATGGGTCTTACATCGCGAAATGCACAAAATCAAGTGAGCACATTGATTAAAAACATGAAAAGATTTGGAAAATAACTGTTGACAACGAATTGGCGGAGCACATGCTTTGCAAATCCTGCAATCGACTGAAATCTGCATGACAGTTTACGAACCGGATTTCGATTTCGGTGCGCGATTTTGATTGGACAATGCATGGACTCGTTAGTCCAGCCAAAATGTAACTCCATAATACGAGCCTAGTTCGGCAAGGGTGGAAACTGGACTTTTATAGTCAGTGTACTCTCTTGCCTCCGGAAGATGCCATCATTACACTGGGCTCTGTTCCACAAAGTGATCGTAGTGCAAAGATGATCGTAACTCCAATTCCTTAACATAGGCTTACGACAGTCGTGGTGTTATGATCGCTTTGTGGAACGGAGCCCTGGTAGGTGGTACCACCATGAGGAGGCTGTTGTGTGGGAGACGGTGTGTAGACTTCAGCCCAGATGGACTGGCTGCATTGGGGATGAACTACCACATTCACCTTCTGTGTCTAATTGATCGCAATTTCTCCTCTAACGCGGTCTTAGACTGACTGTGTGTGTTGTTTAGGGCCTCAGCTGTATGACGTAGGTCTGTAAAAATCGGGTCGGGACCAGACTATCCAGTGATGGACATCATGAGCATCAATCTACGCATTTGGGATACAATGACATGCATGAACCAAGTCAGCAAGCCTGATCCCGTTAGTTGCCTCCCTCATGACAAGCATGGGTTGTTTGGTAGGTATTCTAACCCGGATCTTCGTGGAGGGAGACAAGCATGGGTTGCTGGGGACCGATTCTAACCTGTATCTTCATGGGGGGAGACAAGCATGGGTTGTTTGGTAGGTATTCTAACCCGGATCTTCGTGGAGGGAGACAAGCATGGGTTGCTGGGGACCGATTCTAACCTGTATCTTCATGGGGGGAGACAAGCATGGGTTGTTTGGCAGGTATTCTAACCCAGATCTTCGTGGAGGGAGACAAGCATGGGTTGCTGGGGACCGATTCTAATCTGTATCTTCATGGAGCGAGACAATAATGGGTTGCTGGGGACCAATTCTAACTCGGATCTTCATGGGGGAGGCTGCCTCTAGCATGGTGGTCTTCACACATTGTACCCATTTAGAGACTTTAGAGACCCATGTTAAGCCACTCGTTTATCTGCCACAGATCTATAGAGATTATCAGCTGAGTGTGTTTCTGTACCGTAAATATCATATATTGAGAATACATTCACAATGGCCAGTGAACTCACAGCTCAAAATAAACTGAAACGACGATAACACAATATCATCGTAACTTTATATGGTGGAGTGAACCATCCCATTTCTGATATAGTGCAGAGGCGGTTCCAGGATTTTGAAAAAGGGGGTGTGCACATAATACCCAAGTCACAATATGACTGAGGGCGCAGTTCACATGAAGGGTTTTTGAAATAGAGGGGGATTGCGTGCCCCCTGCACCCCCCCATGATTAACAGCCATGTTGTCTACACAATCACTGACACCTAAGTAGAAAACCCCTTAACTTATCGTGAACGTTAGTCAATATTGTTTTTTGCAAGCCGTCATCGAGATCAAAAGTAGTTCCTGCTAGATGATCTCATGGCATGTTTATCGGATCGTGATACCAAGTTTATCGGAACTGTTTATCAGAACTGTTTATCGAATTGATAACATTGTCCATATGAACAAATTATTTACTGGCCCTCAAGCTTTATCTAGACTTATAGTGACTGTGGCAGAAAACAACATTCATTCACCATTCCTTAACTACATGGAGAACAACTGACACAGAATGCCATAGAACCTCAACAGAACACATTAAGCACTGACATCTAAATTCTAAAGACAGAATGCTATTGAAAAGTCATTTTGCAACAGCACTCATCAACCCTGACTACCTACACATCTAAATATTTGTCTTCACTTTCCTGGAATATACCTTGTTTTGTTATGACCCCCTACATTACCTGCTCTATACCTGGGTAACCATTTCACACTTTACAATCAATACAAAAAACAACCTACCCATTAGAAGCATTGATCATGATCTACGTCACTGGGGGCCCTGTAGGTATATTTTACCTACTTCACACCTAATATACATATCACTACTGTCGTACCTCACACCTAGTAATCACAGCAATACTGTCTTACCTCACATCTGGTCTACACACCAATACTGTCGTACCTCACACCTAGTAATCACAGCAATACTGCCCTACCTCACATCTGGTCTACACAGCAATACTGCCCTACCTCACATCTGGTCTACACAGCAATACTGTCGTACTTCAAACCTAGTAATCACAGCAATACTGCCCTACCTCACATCTGGTCTACACAGCAATACTGTCATACCTCACACCTAGCAATCACAGCAATACTGCCCTACCTCACATCTGGTCTACACAGCAATACTGTCATACCTCACACCTAGTAATCACAGCAATACTGTCGTACCTCACATCTGGTCTACACAGCAATACCGTCGTACTTCAAACCTAGTAATCACAGCAATACTGTCATACCTCACACCTAGTAATCACAGCAATACTACCCTACCTCACATCTGGTCTACACAGCAATACTGTCATACCTCACACCTAGTAATCACAGCAATACTACCCTACCTCACACCTAGTAATCACAGCAATACTACCCTACCTCACATCTGGTCTACACAACAAAACTGTCGTACTTCAAACCTAGTAATCACAGCAATACTGCCCTACCTCACATCTGTTCTACACAGCAATACTACCCTACCTCACATCTGGTCTACACAGCAATACTGTCATACCTCACACCTAGTAATCACAGCAATACTGCCCTACCTCACATCTTGTCTACACAGCAAAACTGTCATACCTCACACCTAGTAATCACAGCAATACTGTCGTACCTCACATCTGGTCTACACAGCAATACTGTCATACTTCAAACCTAGTAATCACAGCAATACTACCCTACCTCACATCTGGTCTACACAGCAATACTGTCATACCTCACACCTAGTAATCACAGCAGTACTGTCGTACCTCACACCTAGTAATCACAGCAATACTGCCCTACCTCACATCTGGTCTACACAGCAATACTGTCATACCTCACACCTAGTAATCACAGCAATACTGTCGTACCTCACACATAGTAATCACAGCAATACTGTCATACCTCACACCTAGTAATCACAGCAATACTACCCTATCTCACATCTGGTCTACACAGCAATACTGTCATACCTCACACCTAGTAATCACAGCAATACTGTCGTACCTCACACATAGTAATCACAGCAATACTGTCATACCTCACACCTAGTAATCACAGCAATACTACCCTATCTCACATCTGGTCTACACAGCAATACTGTCATACCTCACACCTAGTAATCACAGCAATACTGCCCTACCTCACATCTGGTCTACACAGCAATACTGTCATACCTCATATCTGGTCTACACAGCAATACTGTTATACCTCACAACTAGTAATCACAGCAATACTGCCCTACCTCACATCTGGTCTACACAGCAATACTGTCGTACCTCACATCTGGTCTACACAGCAATTACTGTCGGACCTCACATCTGGTCTACACAGCAATACTGTCCTAGTGTGTGTTATACACAGTTATACACAGC